TCCAACGGATAAGTAAGAGAACAGGAACTAGTGCTTAAGTCCCCTGAACCATCTGCCCCAGGCCTACTATATGGCAGTGTAAATATGCTTGAATCTGGGGCTGGAGAGATGGCTCAGAGGTTAAGAACACTGGCTGTTCTTCCAGAGGTCTTGAGTTCAATTCCCAGCAACCACATGGTGGCTCACAACCATCTACAATGAAATATGGTGCTCTCTTCTGGCTTGCAGACAGAACACTCACTGTATACATAAAAATAAATAAATCTTTAGAAAAAAATGCTTGAATCCTCCCCTCCCCCAACAGTGCTTTCTGCTGGGTGACCTGGGTGACCTGGTCAATGGGGACTGCTAATGTCTCCACAGGAACTAGAGTAACATGGTCTGAGCCATGATCATGTACCAACATATCTGACATCCATCTTCCTGGAATTCTGGTCACAGAATAGGCCATTGGAGGCCACCAGGAAAGGGCAGGGGGAAAAAAAAAAAGAGCTGAGAGACCCTGAACTCCTTGTGGAGCATCTGACCCTGAAGAAGTCTGAGGAAGACTCAGACAGACAGAAAAGAAGAGGCCCATGTCCATTCAAGATCGCCAATGTGGATGGCAGAAAGACACAGAAAGACATAAAGATACAGAAAGACATAAAGATGCTGGGCATGAGAAAGCCAGTGACCTGCACTTTCAGATGAACTTGAGGGTGTGTGCTTCCTGAAGTGAGGCCCTGCTGCAAAAGCCTCCCAGCCTCCTCTTTTTCTAACACTTCACAACTCCTCTGGAAGTAAGGAGAGAATTTCCGAACATTTCCAAGAGTTCTATGTTCCCCAGTCATCCTGTGAGCATCATTGCTGCTCTACCCAGGGTATCACTATTGCATCACAGTATCTTAGATGTTACATCCTACTGTAAGCCTTTCGCTGTAGCTGTGCCTTCTCCATAGGAGAATGGCCTCCTTGAAAGGGGTCTTATTTGCTTTTGCAGCCGTGGGCCATGCCCGAGGACCTTGTATGCAGTCGGCAATCTACAAAAAGCTGCTCAACAGTTAGATGCCTGACATTCCCAATTATTCTTAGTTATTAATCTCTGTTGGCTACAGATGCTTTCGAGAAAAATGATGATAGTCATGGATCCTTTCCTCCAAAAGAACCCATACATAAGAGACTATTTCCTTGCAGGCATGGTGGTGCATACCTGTGATCCCATCACTCAAGAGGCTGAGGCAGGGGGGTGTCGAATTTGAGGCAAGCTTGGGCTATATAGGAAGAACCTTTCTCACAGTAGATGGCAATTAACACAGAAACCCTCTACTGATGAAGGTATAAAGAATGAGACTGTGGAGTGCCTACCCTAAATGGGACATCTACACACACATCCCCAAGGCTTAGGGACCATCTCAGAAGAAGGGGCAGAAAGGATTAAGAACCAGAGGCGGTAGGTGACTGCCTACCTCAGGGCAGAAAAAAACCCTGTACACAAGACCAGTGCAACCTCAGGGCAGAAAAAAAAAAAAAACACCACAGAAGGAGGAGGCAGTCACTAAGTTCCACCCCTAGCTGAGGAGTTTTTGGCATTTGATAGTTTCTGGAAGAAGGAGAGATTGTTTTCTTTAAAGGATGTTGTAGCATGAATCTTCAAAGTTCTTATTAATAAAATCAAAC